GCAAAGCATATGCCCTCAATGCATCATGGACAGTATTTTTTCTGCCATGATTTCTGTCCCCAAAGATGTCTGGGTTTACTTGAAAGAAAAGTTGTCCTCAGCTCAGGAGATCTGATCAGGCATGCTAACTAACTGTAAGAAAGATGCTGCCTCTGTGCCTCCTCATGTTCAGGAAGAAGACACATTCCTTCATCCTCAGCAATGCTGGCATTTACCACCTTTCTACAGCTGGAGAAACTTAGACCTGGAGGTGTGTAGGGTTAAGCCAGCCCCTTAGGGGCGGATTTGCCTAGGGCGAATGTTGACTGATAAAATCGGGCACGTGGGAGCCTGCTCGTCCCCTTTTTTCCTGCTTCCTGTGCTGCGCGGGAACCTCGGTTCTGTGAGCTTGTTTCTTCATTAAAGCTGTATATATTTCTTTACAATCTGTCTGCATTTATTTAAGCCGCTACAGAGGTGTTGCTTCCTGCCAACGGCAGTACAGCTGTTGTATCTGTCCACTATGTGTGCCGATGAAAATGCCCGAGACTGGATAAAGGCGTTGCTGTTCCTTCCTAAAATCAGGACCGCTGGACCCAATCCGCATAAGATTGGGCCTCACAGAGGGAAAAGCAGAAACCACTCCCCTGCTTCCTGTGTCCCCGCAGCTATGCGTGGTTCCAGGGGAGCTGGTTGTATATATATGTGGGTGCTGGAAGGTCCCCTGAAGGGAAAACTCCAGCGTTGCAGCCCTGCTGGGATGGGCTTTTTGGTGATGCAACTTCCTTTGAATCACTCAAGGTCCCCAGAAAGTGACCCCAATAAACTCAATGGTTCACACACAGCCTTCTAGGAAAGAGGAGGCAGCTCTCAGCAGGCACTGGGCTGCCAGATCCCTGATCTTGGATTTCCCAGCCGAAAGATAGATGCCTGTGCGGCAAGACGCAGGATGGACCCCGTGCAGTGTGCAGTGTGCAGTAGCAGCTGGCAGAGGCCAGGCGTCCCTGAAGGAAAACCCGGCAGGAACGAGATCACTCATCTGAGCCTCGTGGATCCTTGTGGATCTGTCCTACAGGGTTTGGGAACGGTCCTAAGACAACAGCAGCTGCTCCGTCAGTCCCTGCTGCAAGGCTGCTGCACTCTAAGCAGAAAGTCCCCTGAGAGTCATGGGGTGTGCTATTGGGGGTGCTGTGGGCCTTTACGAGGTGGAGCCTAGTTGTAGTCTTCAGGTCCTTGAGGGTGCACACCGCATGGGGAGGAGCACAGTCTGAGCAGAGCATAGCTCTCCACTGTATTTATTTCTGCAGGCAGCATCTCCCGCTGAACCCAGAGCAAGCTGACCCCCACCAGTCTAGTCAGATGAGGTGCCTGGAGATTTACTGTCTCTGCCTCCCAGGTACAGGGATTCCAGGTGACTGCTAAGCCAGCCTGTCTTTTTTTTTTTAATGTTTAGTTTTTTTAAATATTTATTTATCATATATACATTATTCTGTCTACATGTATGTCTGCACGCCAGAAGAGGGCACCAGACCCCATTACAGATGGTTGTGAGCCACCATGTGGTTGCTGGGAATTGAACTCAGGACCTTTGGAAGAGCAGGCAATGCTCTTAACCTCTGAGCCATCTCTCCAGCCCAGCCAGCCTGTCTTTACATGGGCTCTAGGAACGTAAACTCTGGTCCACCACTTGCTGGACAAGCACTTTCTCCTCCAAGGAGTCCACCTGCTCCTCTCTGCCATGTTTGAGAAGTCCCACCCACACATGCAGCCAGCCACCACAGCCACCCATGACCTGAGGTGATGAGGGCATAGGTGGCCACTGAGGCAGCCTTGCCATTTGCTCTCTCATCCTCCAAGACTGTGAGCTACAAAAACCCTTTCTCTTTATGAAGTCACACGCCTCAAGTGTGCTCTTAGAGGAACACAAAGCTGCCAAATACGCCGCAATTTTCCGTTGGGTCTGTTTTATATGGCCAACAACTGATATCGAGAAGCAGGTATTTTTCAATTCATTTCACCATCCAGAGTGTAGGGTCCCCATATGTTGGGGAGTTGGAGGAAAAGGATTCTTACCTTTCAGGTGGAATATTGTCAGTGTTGCTACTGTGGCGCCTCTGCATTTTCCTTAGCACCTGAAAGTCAACACGTGTGTGTGAGTCACATCCCCGGACACAACCCTTGCCTGTTGCCATGGTAACTATAAACAAGCATCCCTCCTATGTTACATGGCTAGGGCTCTCTGACAACTTCCAAACCAGACTTCTATCATTTCTACCATGCAACCTGAGTATCCCACAGGAGAGAGTTGTTACCCCACCTCACAGGGAGGTCCTGAGAGCCACAGGTGGAGATGGCTCTTATGTCAAAGAAGAAAATAGCTCATGCGACTGCGGACAGGTGCTAGATGGGGTGCAGTGAGAAGCAGACAGCGCCCGCCCTTTAACTTGCTGTGTGACCTCAGACAGATCAGAAACCTCTCTGTGGCCTTCCGCTCCCCATCTGTCCCATGGGAGGGAGTGGCACGGTCAGACTGAAAGCCTCCTTCCCTCTCACACATTAGGCAAATGAAGGCACAACTTCCAGTGGAGACACAGCACCTGGTGCACCGCAAGGAGCCACATGGACTTCAGACCTCCATGTTGACGAAATGGGCCGTGGATGTTCAGGGCTCCTGCTGCAATGTGGCTACCGCATCCCAAAGACAGCAGGCCTTTTTTCCTTTCTCTTCAGAGGGAAGCGCAGGGCAGGGGCTCCTCCAACACATCAGACCTTGGGTGGCACAAAGCACTTGGGTGAACAGGTCATGGGACAACTTCTGCCATGCAATAAACTGAAGGATGAACCTGGTAACTATAACGGATGATCCCATTTGCCCAGTAGTTCTGTAGCTACCCCCCTCTGAGGCACTTACGGCGGGTTATGGCTTCAATAGATTTGGCTTATTAGCAAACTATAACTCCTGGGGGTTGAGGCCATAGCGCTGTTGATAAAGTGCTTGCACAGAGGCAGGAGGACCTCTGTACATAGCCGGGCATGGTGCTGTGCCATGTAATCCCAGCACTGGAGAGGCTGAAACCAGAGGATTCCTGGGACGCCCTGGCCCAGTCTTTCTAGATGATGAGCCCTAGGTCTCAGTGAGAAATCCTATCTCAAAAATAAAATAGCTGATTCCCAAGGAATGATACCGAGGGTGACCTCTGACTGGCATACACGCGTATGCACATCCACACCCATGTGCAATCCCGCATGTGAGCATCCAAACACCCCCGCATATGTATGCATGCACACACACACTCACGTGCACGCGTGCGTGCCCCCCCCCCCCCACACACCGGCAGGAAGAAAATGAAAGAAAATCATGAATCCTGATTGGGGAATACAGAAAACAATTTTCGAACTTCCACTGGCTTCCTAGTAAAACCACATTTGCCAGAAGCCTCCAGGTTGTGCCCAAAACATCATCAGTGCTTACAACCTCAGCTCTGTGAGTCGTGCCTAGACACTCTCACGTTAGCCTTTCCCAGGCTCCAGGTCTTCACACTTGCTATTCCTCCCCCGGGATGCTTTTCCAGCTGAGAGTTACACAGCTGACTTCTCTGATACAAATGGCACCTCCTTCGGGAGGCCTTCTCTTCTCCCCCGGTTCCTGTGGGGTCTGGCTGCTGTCTTCATAGCCCTTACCATTTACATGGATGTTCATTTATATGAGCCATGAGGAGACCAGTGTCTGGTTTGCCCTCTACCTCAGCATTGCAGAGATGGAGGGTGATCAAGTACTTGTACAAATACATTGGGTTTCCCAGACACAGTTTTCTTAGATCCCTGCACCTTGTCACACCTCCCACACCAATAAAAGATCAAGAAAAAAGGGGACAGAGCCTGGAGAGTGTGTACACCGCTTTTGGGGAGTCCAGTTCCAGTACCCACATGGGCAGCTCACAACTACCTGTAACTACAGCTGCAGGTGATTCAGCCCCCTCTACTGGCCGTGGAAGGCACTTGCACTCACATGCACAAACCCACACTCACATAATTAAAAAAATAAAAACATCTTTAAAGAAAAAAAAAAAGCCGATATGCTCCACGAACAGGTTCAGCTTCCTGGAGTATTTCCCCCTTACAGACTGTCTGTTAGGCCAGGCCAACACAACTGGCCGTTGCAGGACTTCTTACTTCTGCACAGCCTTCCAAGACCACCAACCTAGCACGCCACCAGCTAAGTCGCTTATCGCTTTTGCAAGGTTAAATTAGGTGGGAAAAGACTCTTTGGCACCATCTTCATATACAGGCAAGCGCTCTATCAACGAGCTACACCCTCGACCCCGCCATCTTTATAAAGAAAGGGAATGTCATCATGTAACAAGTCCCCAGAACTTGCAATCTGGTTTAATACTCCCCCTGGCCCAACTACTCATCCTCGGGGAAAATAAAACACAGCATCGACACGTTTCCATCTACAAGCTTGACCCAACGTCCTAAATTCAATGCCCACGACTCTGCTGCAGGCGGGCTACAACAACGAGTCCTGGTGCATATCTTGCAAGCAGGATGCAATAGAATGAATGAATGAACCGGCTCGGTTCTACACACCCTAACCCTCCTTATGAGGCCACACACATCCTACAGGACGCTTGGGCTCAAGCGGCGTCCCCAGGCCGGTCCAGGGCCGCACCGCGCGCACAGGGGAAGCCTCTCTGGCCAGGCTTGCAGGGCGGCAGGGGAGCGAAGGGCGAGCTTCGCCTTCGTTTACCTTCCAGACACTTCAGCAATCACGGCCTCCTCTAATCCAGCTGAGCCAATCACTGGCGTGGCCCGGGCGGCACGTGACTTCCGGCCGGCTCATCTAGGTGCGCAATGTCGGCGCTAGGACCCAGGCACAGCAACGCCGGCCTCTGATCTGCGACGGCCCGCCCCTGCCTCCGGATTCAGCCAATAAAAGGCCGTGTCTCTGCAGGGACCAATGGCAAGAAAGTACGGAGGGGGCCTGGCGGAGGCATCACTGGGCGGGGCGGAGCGTGCGGCAGATCACGTGGCCGGGGCGGCTGCCGCGGGGAGGCTGGGCAGGGGTAGGAGCGAATTTAGAGGGTCATGCCGCGGGGTCGTCTCTGCGCCTGCGCCGCTCCGGGATGCAGAACCTTGCAGAGCTGCTGTGGCGCCGGGTCCTGCGCAAGCGCTGGGTGCTCGCCCTGGTTTTCGGGCTCTCGCTGGTTTACTTCCTCTGCAGCACCTTCAAGCAGGTAAGCAAGCGCGCTCGGGACCTCTGTCCCTCTGATCCTTCTTTCCCTTCTAGCCCTCCTCCCCCACATCTCTCTGTCCTCTCCCAGATCTTCGTCCTCCCCCAGATCTCGGTCCTCCTCCAGATCTCCTCCCTATTTCCTATGCTCCTCTAGTCCTTCTCTCCCCCCATCACCCAGCTCTCCTTCCTCCCCCCTCGCTTCCCCCGTCCTCCATCGGCCCTCCTCCCTCTGACCTTTCGTCCTCCCCTTCCCTCCTCCTTCCCTTCCTCTGTCCTTCTTTAGCCCCCCCTCCCACTCTTCCTCCGTCCTGTCCTTCCTTTGATTCTCTGCCTTCCTCCCGCCCATCCTCCGTCCTCCCCTGCCCTCCTCCGTCCTCCCCTGCCCTCCTCCAACCCTCTTCCCTCCCATCATCCATCCTTCTCCAGCCCTCCATCCTTGATCCTCCGTTCTCACACTTCTTCCCTCCGATCCTCGATCCTCTGTCTTCTCTGGTCCTCTGATGCCCCTCCCTGCGGTCCCACCTTGTAGTCCTTTTCCTTATAATGTGCAGCCATTCTGTACCCCCTGCAGGCCTCTGATTCTCTTCCTTTAAGTCTTGGATCATTCAGTACTCCTCCTTCTGATCATTTGGTCTTCCCTCCTTCAATCCTCTATCCTCTGTCCTCAACTCTGTAGTCCTCCTCCCTCTGTGTGTTCCCCTTGCTCCTGTCCTCTGACCTTCCCTCTTAGCCTCTTGTCTATTGAAGGCTATATGGAGGGTCAGGAGGGGGGACATCCCAGGTCTTTGTACCCTCCCTCTCCCTATGCCAGACCTGGCTGGTAGGCCAGGCAGAGCATGGACTCAGACCTGTGCCCATCATTTCATCCTCAGGCACATTCCTGCTCTGCACCCAGACCTCTCGATGGACAGGTGGGCAGTAGGTAGAGGTGGCTAGGCCAGGAAGTGTCCAAGGGCTCTGTGCTATGTTTGCCTGGGTGACCCAACAGGCTCCTGGAGGTGCCCCTTTTTTTTTTGCACACCTTGGTTGGGTGGATTTTTTTTCCCCTTAACCTTCTCTTTTCATTTTTGTGCAGAGTGAGAGTTCCTGGAGAGTTGCAATCCAGTTTTAATAGGAAACAATACCCAAAGTTTCATTCTGGGTTACCTTCTGCCCTTCAGCTGCCGCCCCCCCCCCCAATTTATCCTTTGATCCGGTTTTACTTCTTTTCTCTTATCCATTCCGTTTTTATGTCTCACAGTCTTTGCATTGTGGGTTTTTGCTGTGCTACAGCCTGTCTTGTATCCCGCCCCCCCCAGTCTCTTTGATACCTTGTGACAACAGGTGCAAAGTGTTCTCACTGCAACTTTGTTGCCATTTTCTGACGGCTAAGGGTACAGAAATTAAGGGCTACTTAAATCTTCCTTGGAGGAAAGTCTCTTCAAATCTCTCCCTGCTTCTTTGGAAAATCTGAGGGAGGCCGCTGTCCTGAGAGGTCAAGTTCATGCATTAAATGTATAGAGGAGTAGTGTGTAGATAAAAGTAAATGTCACCTGGGGGGAGGCAGGAGAGCTATGGGGGTGGGGGAGGAAAGTGCATCTCATCTCTCACCTGGTTGTAAGCACAGGCCAAGTATTGCAGAGGCATGTGTGGTCACGTGAGCAGCTGGCCTTCATGAGTTGTGTCTGTAGACTAATTTCCACACCCCATGCTCCTTCCTTTGTCTAGGGGACCTTAGCGAGTGCTGCGAACTGACCTAGGTTCTCTCTCTACACCTGCCTGGGTGTGGACTAGCTTTGTTGTTCCTCTGAGTGCCATTAACATCTCAGTATGTTACTTAGACTAGCCCTGTCCAGAAAGTCCCAAATTCTTCTGTCTACTGCATCCTTTTCTTCTTTTCTGAATGGTGTGTGTGTGTGTGTCTTCTTACCTTGTCAAGATTTGGCTTGAACTTATAATCCTCCTGTCTCAGTTTTCCAAATTCAGATAATTGTTTCCTTTACGCCCCCTGGAACAGAACCCTTGGCTCTCCTCTGCCAGTTTTGTACCTTTCCAGTCCTCACCATCTCTCTAGGTGATTTCACTGTTCACAGTCCTGTCATTCTTTTCTTTCTGTCACTCCTGTCCCCAAAATATTGGCTCTGGCTCTGCAATGTCCTGTGCCTGTTCATTGGCCAGAATTATGTCTGTTGCCCACTCGGGGCCAAGACACTCCCGTCTATTGCCTGGACTGGTGCGCAGCCCAGCAGGTCTTCTTTCTGTTTGTCTCAGTCTGTTCAGTGACAATGTTTCCACCATGGCCTTCCCAAATGGGGAATTCTTTGCTCAAGTGACAAGAGCTCCTTTGAGTTCTCTGTGTGACTGAATGAATTTTGGTCACTCGGGGCCCAGCTGATCACAGTTAATGACTCAGGTCATGCTGGTGACCCAGTGTCACGCACTCGCCTGCCTGCCTATTTTTGCAGGTGTGCTGATCACAAACCCGGTATTTCTCGTTTGTGTGCTTGCTCACCTGTGTCACCTCGCCCTTCCTTTTCAACACAGTTTTCTCAAGAACAGAGACCTGTCTGTCCTGTTCAGACACTCCAGCCTTCTTCTCTGTCCCTACCCCCAGGACTTCTTGGGGACCAGATATTGGTTCAAGTGAGTCTTCTTGATGGGGGTGATGACTTCTCAGCCACTTTATTCCTTTTTTTTTTTCTTCTTTTGGCTCAGATGCTGTCCACCTGGCAGCCTTTCCTACAGCCACATTTTAACTATTGTGTGTGTGTGTGTGTGTGTGTGTGTGTGTGGTGGGTGGGGTGTGTGAGATGAGGGTAGGCTGTGGGCATCTTTTTTTTTGTTTTGTTTTTGTTTTTGCTTTTCTATTTTCTCTGACACCAGGAGCATTGATAATCATTGCCAGCCTTTGCTGCCCTATTGTTATGACAGGGCCTTTGACTAGTAGATGACGAAAGTGCATCTATGTGCGGAGCCTACGTGAGACTCAAGTCCCATCAGGGTGGAATGAACTTGTCTTCTTAGTGTGGGTTACTGCAACACCACATGAACTCTGGTGGCCTGAACAACACACATGCATCCTAGCAGCTAGGAGGTCCCAGACTCGGATGCCTGCAGATTCTGCATGTGGTGTCCCCCTGCCCCCCCGACCCAGCTACACACTGGTTCCTTCAGCCCCTTTCAGATGTACCAGTCCATCCATCCCTGGGGACTCCACCCCATGACCTCACAGAATTCTAGTTCCCTCGCAGACACTCTACTTGTCAATCTGTGGATGCCACTATCCACTAATGCCATCTTGGGAGTGAAGGGTTTGGCATTGATTCCAGTGTAGCGATGGGTATTCAGTTCACAACTGGGTAGCTACACATAGCTTGGTTGGCCCTGGGATGCTATCACCTGTGAAATACAGCTCTTAAAAGTGGCTGGTAAGAAGTACTATCAGGTTGTGAAGTGTAAGGCATACTACTGCATAGCTAGCCAGCCCTGTGTTGTTAGCCTCCGCTTTTGCCCTTGGGGTACTGAGAGCCTGTGTTTCAATTCTGGTTCTTGGAGCCCTATCCTGTGCTGCTCTTGAAACACCCTCTTGGAGCACTCTCCTGTGTGACTCTTGGAGCACTCTCCTGTATGACTCTTGGAGCACTCTCCTGTGCGGCTCTCGGAGCACTCTCCTGTGCATCTCTCGGAGCACTCTCCTGTGCAGCTCTCGGAGCACTCTCCTGTGCGGCTCTCGGAGCGCTCTCCTGTGCGGCTCTCGGAGCACTCTCCTGTGCGGCTCTCGGAGCACTCTCCTGTGCAGCTCTCGGAGCACTCTCCTGTGCGGCTCTCGGAGCACTCTCCTGTGTGACTATTGGAACATTCTCTCTTGGAGTACTCTCCCATATGACTCTTGGAGCACTCTCCCGTATGACTCTTAGAGCACTCTCCTATATGACTCTTGGAGCACTCTCCTGTGTGGTCCTTGAAGCACTTTCTTGCAGGTTGTCAGATTGCTTTGCCTAAGACTCATTTATAGCTGCTACCTCTTCCTTTCTCGGGTTTCAGGCCGTTTTCTTCCCGTGTAGCTTGGCCTCATGTCTATGAAGTGGGACCAAAGGCTGGGCGATGCTCATCTGTGTCATCCTCAGATCCTGTGGCCATCTTACTCCTCCACCGAGTCTCCTTCACAGGACTGGAGTGTGATTAGGAACTGGACCTCTTCGAGAAGGGGTGGTGTCTGACTGTGTTACAGACCAGCCCAGATTTTCAAATTAAGGTTCTCCGTTTGTGACAAGGTGACAGAAGTAAACCGGCTAACATTCTGTGCGTGGTGATTTAAAAAAATGGGATCATGTTGTGGGGAGTGGTGCTGCTCATTTTTGATCCCAGCACTTGGAAGGTCGAGGCAGTCAGACCTCTGTGAGTTTAAGCCCAGCCTGGTCTACAGAGTGAGTTCCAAAAAGGTGGGGATTTCAAAAATAGATTCCTCTGGCTTCCCCCGAGAATTCAAGTCTCACACTTACTGGTGGCCTCCAGCCAGGGTCTAATGATCTCCATTCTTTAATCTGTGCTGTCTGTGCTCTCTTTCCATCTCCTGTTCTCTCATTCTGGTTCTTCCCTGGCCTCAGAGGGCCGGGGAAGCATAGCCCCTGTGGAGGCGGCTTCCTTCATCCCTCCTTCTCTTCTTGGGTTCTGGTCTTGGTGCGTATGTAGTTCCCACCCTGTAGGCTCACTGTAGGGTACTGGGAGCACAAGCCAGACATTTGTACTGTGAACTTCTGGGGCTTTGTTTTTCAGAGTAACCTAGCCGATCAGCTTCTAGAATATGGTGTGCACACCCCAGGAGAATCCCCTTCAAGAAGTCTGTGAGGTCTAAATTAGATTCAGAATCACTTAAACCATGTTGGCCATGTTCACCTGTGGTCACACTTAACCTCAGCTGTCACCAAGCTTGGTGGAAAGCCGCTCTAAGAGCCTGAATTGGAACACAGATGGTGGTTCTCAGCACACCAGGACACAAACGGCATTTGCCCTATATCAGTG